CTTCAATTGGCAGTTCCTCTTCTCTGCATACCACGCTTAAGTGTCCATCATCTTCATCGTCCCCGACAGGCCGCGCTACACACTAGCACACACTATGCAGCCATGTCGAGCGACAGTGAGGATGACAGTTCGGAACAGCAGTCTGGCGCCCGATGATAGGTCAACATCGGAATCATCCCGCTCGTCTTCCATGAGTCTGGCATCGAGCCCAGACCTTGATTATATCCAGTTCATGGAAGGGACGCCGCCTACAGAGTCGTCAGACGACAACCAGACGGACGAGGAGTCGTTGGAGGACGAAGAAGAGGACGACGATGATGATGAGGAGGAATGGTCAAATGAGGAGGAGGAGGACGATGACAACAATGACGATGACGGCGATGAAAAGCCAAGGACCAGCGGCAAGAAGCGTCCTCGCCAAGACGATGTCGCGGGGCCATCCAACAACAACAACAAGAAGAAGAAGGACTAAATTAAGCAAACTGTATATATCTCTGTTTATCCTATCAATCTCATCGCAGACGGTTAGTAATATGTATTCGACAGAGATCTTCTACATTATCGCCCACAGGTTGGTTTGTTGAACTGTGTGCCCTGACGAGCACACAATTCACAAAAAAGACCGTATGGGCTGTCTATAATGATCGCACACAATTCTGATTATCGATCTGTTTGCCGGGTATCACACACATCTTGTTACGTCGAATTGTTTGTGTTCACCTCAGTCATTGCAAACGGTTCATCAGAGTGAACTGTATGCCATATATCGCACACACCTTGATCTGGCTGCCCGTTTTTGTTGTTCTATCTCATCGCAAACAGTTCATATAGATTAACCGTATGCCACTCATCGCACACACAACTAAAATATGAACCATGTTTGATGTATCATTCATCGCAAATGTTTTGCATCTTTTTTGACGGTTTTTTACATCACTGTTTGCAATTAATGCATCACACACAGTTTCATCAAAGGGTCTCTGATCGTAGTGTCGTGTTAGCAGCATCCTGCAGTAGTGGATGCAGGCAGGAGTCGGTCTACTTGTCTCGGACGTGATGCCTATATACATGATCATTGCCTTGGATATCTTCATAACTATACGCTTTTCTATCAATTGCTCAACAGTAATTTGTTTACCCACTGTATGCTTTCTTTCAAGAGAGAAGCCTCTAGTGAATACTATGGCCCCCGGGTCTATCTTTTATCATATTATTTCTAGATCTACAAATCAGAAGCACAAAAATACCTTGCTGCAGTTTATTTACTTTTATTTTGTTTGCACTTGTATTTATCTTTTATATCCATCACTATGAGATCTCATCCTTACAAGTAACCATGAAGGGATTGACAACCCCTTAAATTGTTGTGTTGGGCGCAAGTATTTGTTTGTTTGTGCAGATGCTATCATTGGAGACTTGTGTGTTCCTTTTACTGTATTGATATCTTGGTTCTTAACTGAGGAAAATACTTATCTCTACTTTGTTGCATCACCATTTCCTTTTCAAGGGAAAAACCAACGCAAGCTCAAGAAGTAGCACCACCTCCTTTGTCCCTCAATGCAGTGCACGACCGATGCACCCCTCCCCTCGGTTGCTCAAGTGAGCTATTGCTCCTCCTCCTCCTTTTTCCCCATCTTCCTTAAGGTTGATGTCGACACCTGCGATGCATAGGGAACGGGCACTAGTGCTGCATCCTTTTCCCCTGCTCACCACCGGGCGCTGCTTGGCCACCCGTCAAGCGAGTTGCAACGGTCGATCACACTGCAGCAAGAGGGATGTGTCGTGCTGGCTAGATGGGAACCATGAGCCCATGAACTACAGCTTCTGCTGTGACCGGCTAAGGTTTTGCTGGGATAGGTGGCGACACGAGGGAGGATGCTTCGATGGCGAGCCAGAAAATCTGTAACCGACGTGTGAAAATGTTCCGAAGGTGGCGCCCGTACCAGACGATGGCGGTCGGCGTGGTTGGGACTTGCGACCGATGAGTGGCTTTGTTGCAATGGGGATACATGGGAGCATCGTCCGACGAGGCCGGGAGCTGGTACCATTATAGGGACAGTGCTACAACTGGCGAACGACGAGCTACAATAGACGGTTGGTGGAGCTGCATCTAGCGCGACCGCTGATGGAGAGTTGTTGTGGTGTTGTAATCCTTCGGTGGCGGAGCTGCAATCGGCAGACAGGAGGCTACAAATGACGATTAGGAAGCTACAAGGGAACATTTGTTGCTACCAGCGACGATAGTGATCCTGCGTGCTAGGGGAGGGGCGAAGCGCTGAGTGCGGGGCGAGTGGTGATGAGGCAGAGTTGCGAGGGGCGTTGTCGCGTCTCTGTGTCATGCTGCTCATAATCTATCTCGCGCGCTGCCGAGAGGAAGATAGGGAATGATGGGTGTGCGTAGAGAACATACAGATAGGATCTAGACGGTTAATAATGGGCTAATACTACGACAAGCATGTGCCCAACATGAACCCTGATCGGTCGCCCGACATGTAGCTTTTTGATAGTGCTTACATTCCTCATGGAAGTCAGCATTCTTGTTTCTCTCTTTATTATTTTTATATTGCTCCCTTCTGAACTTCTCTTTGTACTTTTCTCATATACACATGAAAACACAAAAATGTATGTTGTACGAAATTCCTACTGTTGTTGTCAATAAAAACAAATCACTAGTCACCCCTTTAACTAGGCTATCATGTATGAACTGTGGGTAATTAGCATTTATACCATTGATCACCTTGTAAATCTAACATTTTTTATACATATCTTATATGGCTACGAGAGTAGGTGTCCTAAAACAGTACGGAAATGTATACATTAATTTGGTATGTAGTTATTGTGTTATATGATATGCATCACTTTGATTAGTATACAGATATAGTATCATATGATATGCATCACATTAATTGGTATACAAATATAGTATCATATGATATGCATCAAATTAATATTCTTCAAAAAAGAAAAATTGCATCACATAAAGATATGTAATTGATTCCTGCCCCTTGCTAATAAGCTCAAGCCAACATATATAGTGTCGTCTTCTTTGCCTATCAGCACAACCATTGCAAGCCTCATCTTAAACTTCACAAATCCCATCGATTGATCCAAGGCCAGATAGCAACAACCCCCAAAACCATGAGAACCAGCCTCCTCCTTGTGGCCATTGCCACCATCGTCCATGTCATTGTTATGCCAACCACAGCAATCCCCGGGGGCTGGTTTAAGATCAAGAACATCGCCGACCCGCACATCCAAGAGCTTGGCAAGTGGGCAGTACTGGAGTACACCCAACTGGGGGGCAATGATGGGCTCAGGTTTGTGAAGGTGGTGAGTGGCGATGAGCAGATTGTGAAGGGTGTAAACTATCGGCTCGTCATTGACGCCTTGAGACTCGATGGCTCACACGGTACATACAAGGCAGTGTTGTTCGAGAAGGACTCGAGTAACCCAAAGACATGGAAGTTCATATCGTTCACCCCTGCAAATTGAGCGTTGCCGATCCGATGATATTTAGACTAGCCATATTATTCTAATTGTAATAAGAAATGTCAAGGGATTGGTGTTTTGTTCTACCTAACAGATTATGGAAACTATTCATCATTGGCAACTCGCAATGTTTTAATTTTTTAGACGATTACGGGGAGCATGGATGTTGTCACTTGAACTCATTGCTATAACAAACAATAGCATATATAAGTTATGAAACACAAGATGGCACAACAATCTATTCTTTATGAATGGTTGTGAAATGTGCACCTTGGTCATGAAGTTAAGAAACACAAGATGGACATTAAAAAGAGACTAGATGGCATTTCACTTTAAGATAACTATTGTGGTCGTTGTTCTTCTTGCTATTTATGTCCTTTTGTCTTGGTGTTGGTATATGTGACTATGTATCCGCGTTGTTTTGTCACTGTGTTGTTGCAGCAGTCATGCTTATTAATTTCTATTAGTTTGATGATTTCATAACATTTATTTCTCCAAAAGAATTGCATCTCATACCATGTTTGCATAAAATCATTTAAACCGGTTGTCCTTTGAAATTTCTCAGAGAAATTGGACAAATGTCACCAAAATATTAGAAGATACTAGACATGTTGCTCATAAAACATTGAGCCCTAATGCATTTTCTATTTTTGAATGATTTACATATCATACTCATGTGATTCGTAAGATGTGCATGTTTGCACAAAGGGGAACTAGAGGCTCCACGACCACTGCTGGTGCTTAGCTAGGCCAATCTGGATTGCTATTTTTATTTTTGCGCGAAGGGCGGCGCTTGCTAACCAAGGGGTAGCCCCACGCGTTATATTGGGGCGCCCATGTACGATAACGTCTCTTCCGATTCTGGAAGTTTTAGAAAGGTTTCGATTGTATTTTTCCTTTTCCAGTGTTTTCATGTGTCGGTTGTAGCGGTTTTCTTTCAGGTTTTTGTTTTTATTTTCAAGTTTTATTTCCTGTGTCCTTTTTTATTTTATTATTTCTTCTCTTTTATTCTTTCACTTTTCTATTTTTAAATTCATAAACATTTCTAAATTTCCATTTTTTGAGGTTTTGGAAAGATTTTTATCCTTTTTTCCTTTTCCAGTGTTTCCCCATTACGGTTTTCTTTTTAGATTTCATTTTAGTTTTCTTTCCCAGTTCAGTTTTTTTCCTTTTTATTTTGATTTTCTTCTACTTTATTTTTTTTACTTTTCTAATTTCGAATTCGGGGAGATCTATCAATTTTCTAAATCTGTTTTTAATCATGCCTAACATTTTTAAAATGCACAAACTCTTAATAAAACTCCTTGATTTTTTGAAAATAAGAATATATTTGTAATTTCCTAAACCTACTTTTATAGTTCGTGGTCATTTTGTCGTTTCCTCAATATTTTTCTTATATCTGTGAACATGCCCCTATTGGTTTTCTTATGGCGGGATACAACTCAAATAACAAATATTCTTTTGCACGTGGTCTACGAGCTGCTGCTCAATCCATTACTTACGAAATACCATTAACTTTTTGTGTGCTAGCAATATCTCTATGTGTGATTTTTTAGAATAGCATCTTTTCTTATAAAATCCATTAACTCTTTATATTTGTTTTCTCATTCAGTGTCTGGGTTGGTAAGTTAAACTGGATAGTTATATGAAAGAAACAAAACAGCTTGTAGGTTTGTACTACAAAGAAAAAAACTCCATTCCTATGTAGAAAAAAATGAAATCGCTTGAACATTTTAGGAAATTTAGGACTACTTTTAATCCATAAATATTTTCCAAAATCATGTAATTTTGTTAAATCGATAAGCATTTTTAAATTCTATTTTTTTAATTCATAATTATTATTTAATTAATGAACACTTTTCTAATTTTCTGTAACTAAGGAACACTTTAAAATTCATGATCATTAATTAATTCATAAACATCTGTTTTGATTCGCGAACAAATTTAAAAATTCTGGAATGTTTTATAATTTTGTGATTTAAAAGAATCATGAATCCTATGTTTATTCGCGAAATCACAGTTTCTGGTTTTCAGAAAGAAAAAAATGACTCAAAATTCTCTAGCAGTAGGGCAAACAAAATATATGAAAATCGCTAAGTGGAAAGACCCACCCAGCCGTGGTTTGCATTTGCTAAGATGTACAGCGCAAATGCTATGTACAGCTGACAACGAACGATGAGATACCGCTCACCCACACAGTGCTATGTATCTTCTTCTTTTCTCTCTTGATTGGTTTCTTCATTTTATTATTACTTTATTAGCAAAATTCGAAAAATTCAAAAAAAAATCAATTTTTTTAGACTTTTGGGTATTTTGTAACGACTTACCCACACATTACTATTTTTTCCGTGTTTGCAGAAACTATTGAATATTCTGTAAAATGTTCAGACTTTTAAAATATCACCTGCCTTTCTTAAAAAAATTGGAAGTTTAAAAATGTTTTATATTTCATAATTTTAAATAATCATTCGATTTTTCCAAAATCTTCCTTTTTTAAATCTCGTTTTGAAAAATTGTTTGTGCTTTTCTGAAATTGTCTGAAATTTCAAATTAATATAAATTTATAAGATGCTTGGAATTTCAAAAATAATCATGATTTAAAGATATGTTCACAAATTTTAAAAATTATGACACTTTTCAAAATTTATTTTGCGATTTCAAAAAATGTTTGCGTTCTGAAGAAATGTTTCGGAATTTCAATTTTTTCACTTTTCCAAAAATTGTTCAGTTTTTAATTCGGGAATTTGTCTTTCAAATTCATGATCTTATTTCAAATTGGTGAACTAAGTTTGAAATCGAGAACATTTTTAGAATTTGAAGAATATTTTTATGAAACTGTGATCTTTTTTTGATTGAATATTTGTTTTTCAAATTCATGAGCATTTTTAAAATTCGTGAATTTGTTTCCAATGCATGGTATTTTTCTTCATTTTCCATACATTTGTTTAGGGTAGCATGGGGCCGATGATGTTGTGTCTCCGGCCAAATTATACTGAAGATCAAACGTTGGTCGTAGGCAGCCAGACATGGGATGACCGCGACGGACATCAAGCCAATTTTCCTTTACCATCAAGTAAGCCAAATTGTGATCTCCGCCTCTGCGAAGGACAAGCTAATTTTTTATATGGTGAACTTGAAGGCATCAAGATAAGTATATATGACAAAAAAAGTTATAACCAACCAAATAGCAACTACAATCAGCCTATATGAACATATTAACTCCAAAGTGTGATACGAAAACTGGTAGAATAACAACTATCAATTTATCACTTGGAATCAAACTTCCAAAAAATATTCGTTGGCACTCTTGAAATAAAACATGGAGTCGAAATTTGAAAATACTAGAGAATACCCCGAGCTTTGCTGCGGGAATCGATTGCAATATATTTTAGTGAATTGATTGCATGAAACATGCATAGTTGAATTAATAATCTATGAAATAAATTTAAAATAAGTATTATATATTGTATTTCATTATTATGTAGTCACAAAATATTTAGAATATAAGTGGCATAATATAATAAATATTTTTTCCATGAATGTTGAGTGGACTTCTAATGAGGTGCATGTGTGATGACTCGTGAGATGAGATGTGTGCATGAGATGAACTAATAATGAACAACTTTTCCTCATACATGTTGTGATGGGACTTTCATGAGATGGCATGTGTTCATGTTAAGATAATAGAGATAGTAAGGATGAACTATTTTAGATACTAGATGATGCCCTGCACGTTGTTGCGGGATATTGGAAGAATTTCAGATATTCGTGTTGCTTTATGTTGATGGGCTCGCCATAAGGGAAAGTGATCTAACACAAAGTAATTCTTGTTTGCTCAGTGCAATGTCATCAAACAAAACCGATGGATTAGCACACCACAACGTGAAATGAAATAAGGAAATATAAATGTCATAAGAAGATTCATCACTAAACCTATTTATTTCAACATGCAAGCATCACATCTATGTTCTCAAGTGTAAAAAATGAGAGGCACCAGTTTTAAGTTGAAGATTATAGAGTGTAAATAGTTCAACCTGCAAGGTACAATTTCTCATATTTATTTCGATGAACAATATGTATGCACCTGTCAAATTAAGGTAAGTTGTGCATAACTTACTCAATTGAATCAATGAATATGAACTATGATATTCCCGAGGAAGGGTATAAAGACAATAGTCTTCAAAAGCATTGCCCTGGCTAAAAGAGAATTAACCAAAAGACTGAAAGATGTAAACACATGTAGCAAAACTGTGTGTTAGTTTTTGTATCATACGATGAGTTTAATATTTGAAAGGGGAGAGAAAAAGTAACCAATCAAACTACATGCCCTAGCTTCTACAAACTAAACCAACGAAATAATGCAGTAAGAGGTACACGATCATTGATTATGAGAAAGAGAGGTAAAGTGAGATTAACATACAAAATGTAGAACGGTCCCTTTTTCTTGTGTTTTGTGTGATACTCAACCTTAACGTCATTCTAACAAAGTGGCCCTTACATTTAGTCTAGCTAATAGGCTGCTAATGCATTAGGCTAGAGAAAATTGTTGACACACACGTGTGCGACTTATAATACAAACAACGGGTTGTCTCTGAACATACTCAAGGAAAGCATAGTAACATAGTAAAAGAATTAGTAGGCTAAGTGACGGAGTTTCAAAAAAAAGTGATGCTAGAGAAGCAAGGTGAGGAAAACTGGATAGAGAAATCCTCAAGAAGAAGATGGTATCAGGGGGGGCTGAATCAGGCTGCAGGCGGCATCGAGGGGTGTAGATGTATCCCAGCCATCATGCACGAGAGCTGCATGCAATGGGTTTCAACAATGACTTCAAATTTGTCCAAGGGCAAAACTTGGCCATTGTGGATTAGGGGTGCCGGGTGTGGTGATGATGGAACGTATCTGCTCCACTAGCTAAAGAGGAGATCAATTGCATCGTTTACTTCTCTATAATGGAGATGGGAGTCAATCTGTTTCAGTAGTTGGCACTGGGGAATGAGATTTAA